TCAAACTCAGTTTCCTTGAAACATGGGACTGTTCCAGGTACAAATAAGAAAGACGAGCATGTTACCCATAATTAGCCATGATCAGAGATACACTCCCTACATACGACAGCTGTCTGACAAATACATGTACAATAATATTTTATAAATCTACTTCTGAAAATACTAATGTGTGTCCAGAACGATCCTTGTGAGTATAAAAGTAAATTCTCTATCAATCTATTTTTACACTTTCTGGGCAGCTACTGTACCAATAAATCCAACTTAAAATCACAGCCATGGATTCTTTAATCTTTAGGATCAGTTTTCACAGAAAGATATAAACCAAAATGGGTGAATCCAGCCTATCAGAAGGCATTATCCTCAGATAGAAACCCAATTACTCATCCATTGAAAGAAAATACAGCCTAGAGGATAGGATATCATTTCAGACTCAATTTCCAGTTATCACCTTCAAAATTTTGAGCATTTAAAAAAAAAAGTTTATGAAAAGTATAGGAAAACCTAGGAATATATTGTAAGGAGAAGGACCTGAGTCTTACCTGACATACTATTTTTAAATGAATCCCCCCAAGCAAGTGCTGTTTGTTCAAATTAGTAACCGATGGAGTATTACATGCTAATGCAATAACAATAATATACTATGCTAAAGTTGCATTTAAAAACACATAAAAAAAACCACAATTAAGGTTTCAACAGCAGTGTGTTAAATCTGCCATGTTGCATAACTTGATGTTTTACGGTAGAAATTTAAAATATAAACCATGCCTGCCATTTTTCTCTGTCCATGATGTAAAGATATTTTGGATAATTTTTCTCTCTCTCTCATATATATATATATATCTATATATATTGCAATTAGACAATTAAAGTCTCAGTTCTCATGCAATTTGTCCTAGCAGCTGCCAGGCCAAGAAAACAGAATGCATATTGGTATTGTAAAACAGGGCAGGATTTCATTGAGGCCTCAAACAAGCAAATCACTGAAGCATATGCTTAACGTTAAAGTAGTGAACACTCTCCCTGAAGTCAATGGACTAGTCACATGCTTAAAGATAAGCATGTGCTTTAAGTGCTTTGTTGTATCAGGGCCTTTAATGAAAAAATCTTACAAGATGCTCACTGAGCATGCCCTTTACCAACTTACAATGACCGCTGTAAGCTCTTTTGAGCAGGGGTTGTCTAATTTGAGGGTCTGTAGGTGCTATTGTAATATAATTAATAATAATATACTCACAAGTCTCAAAGCTCTCTAAAAGGAGAGTAAATATAATTCTGCCTATTTTACAGATTGGGTATCTGAGGCACAGAATACACAGCAGGTTAGTGGCATAAGTGGAAACAGAACCGAGGACTTCTGACCTTGCTCTATGGGACCATGTTAGTCTGTATTAGTCTGTATTCGAATGAAATGTGTTGAGGAATAATTATGGAACAACAGAGATGCTGAGTGTGAGACTGAAATACCAGGGTACAGAGTTTATGGAAGGAATAGTGTTGGAAATAATTTTCCTAATAAATTTACTAAGGTTTACCACAACTCAGTTTCCATAGAAGTATTCCTTTATTTAGTGTTTACTGCATGCAAAATACAAATACAAGCAAAGGTACACTTATATTCTGTATCCTAGCCACAATGCCGTTATAAGCATTGGCCCAATACAACAGAATCAGGTTCAGGAGATATCTTCCCATCATGGTATGACTCAAGAGGGGTAAGAAACACACATGAAAAAACCCAACCCTACAAACCTTGCCTTTTATACACTGTAGTTATTGCACCTTAGCTAAAGCTCTGAAGTTTAGTGCTGAACCTTGTCCTCTGGCCAGATTAAGACAAAACTAATGGTTGGGTCTCTCTCTCTTCAACACTTTTCTTCTTCTGTTATTTGCCATATTTCTCCCTAACTATTGGTCCAAGCATTTCTTTATAATAAATTAAACAAATGTATATAGCCAATTATTTACTGCATCGGGCCTATCATTCATGCTAACATCAAAAGTCAATTTAAAACCATAGTTCACCCAGGACCAATGCAGACCTATATTCTTATGAATAGGTAAAAAGAAAGGAGGGTGGCAATATAGATGAACAAGAATACTATATGCATGGATGCATAAAAATTATTTTAGCTGACGTAAAGGGAAAAATTATGCTTACACATTGTGAATATCATATGGCGGGGTGGCCAACTTACGTGACAAGGAGCCAGAATTTACCTATGTACATTGCCAAAGAGCCACAGTAATACATCAGCAGCCCCCCATCAGCTCCCCAACACTTGCCAGCAGCTCTGCTGATCAGCGCCTCCCCTTCCTTCCCCATGCCTCCTGCAGCATGCAGGAGGCTCTGGGGGGAGGAGCGAGGGCATGGCAGGCTCATGGAAGGGGGCAGGAAGGAGTGGGGGCCTTTGGGGAAGGAGTGAAGTAGGAGCAGGGCCTGTGGCAGAGTCAGGGGTTGAGCAGTGAGCACCCCCCATCCTGGCACATTGGAAAGTTGGCACCTGTAGCTCCAGCCCTGGAGTCGGTGCCTATGCAAGGAGCCGCATATTAACGTCTGAAGAGCCGCATGCGGCTCTGGAGCCACAGATTGGCCACCCCTGTCTTATGGACAGAATGAAAAAAGAATCAAGAAAATGTTTCTCAGCCATGAAGAGGGCCTCTTAACTGACATGTATTTCTATGGAGAAAGCAGTACAGACAGTATTAATGGAAACTGTAGGGTCATATTGTGCTTTGAATTTTGAAGAATTACTCATTGATATGTCCCTGAAGAAGGAGCCATTCTCAGGGCAGTAGCATAGGATGGCTTTCTTGTGTTCTTTGTTAAGCAACTGCCAGTTGGGAGGTTATCTGAGAACTAATGATTGAAAATGGACCAAGTTTGGTTGAAAAAAAAAAAGTGAAGTCAAAGTTAGAGAGGCGCTAGTATCTAGGGATCACAATATCATTTGATAAGAAATGCTGTTGAGGTTTTTTTTAAAAAAGAGAATGTAACACAAATACATTCTGCTTCAGAAAAGCGTATCTTAAATAAGTGTGAAATAAGTAAAATTGATTGCAACTCAATATTGCATGGAGAAACATAACTATTAGTTATAGCAAAGAGCCATGAACTTTACGTGGAGACCTGAATAGTTGCAAAACTAAAGTTTGGATCTACATTTTAGAGACAGGTCCCAGCTGGGAAACAAATCAGAGAATACCGTGTTAAGTGGAACAGTCCTCCAACATATTGAAAAGAAAAGAACTTAGCATTTACTATGGAAAAAAAATAATTGAAAACAGAAATAGTACACAGCTACAGTTAAGGGAAAGAAAACAAAATACTAGATTAGCAGAAGAATACCATGCAGAACATGAGGAATGATTTATTATCACTCTATATCAGTGTTTCCCAAACTTGGAACACTGCTTGTTCAGGGAAAGACCCTGGCAGGCCGGGCCGGTTTGTTTAACTGCCGCGTGCGCAGGTTTGGCCGATTCCGGCTGCCACTGGCCGCGGTTCACTGCTCCAGGCCAATGGGGGCTGCAGGAAGGGCAGCCAGCACATCCCTCGGCCCGTGCCACTTCCTGCAGCCCCCATTGGCCTGAAGCGGCGAACTGTAGCCAGTGGGAGCCGTGATCGGCCGAACGTGTGAATGCGGCAGGTAAACAAACCGGCCTGGCCTGCCAGGGGCTTTCCCTGAACAAGTGGCGTCCCAAGTTTGGGAAACACTGCTCTATATAATCCTTGCTGAACCCCCATTTAGTAGTATATCATGGTAACAATGGGCTTAATCCAACAAGGTGAATCAATGGGAGTTGAGGATACAAAAGCACCTTGCAGCATTTTGATGTATAGTACAGGAAACAGATGGAGTAGGCAATTAAAAATATACCATCGTCCCAATTTGCTGAAATGAGACAAAAGATGGATACCAATTCAGGATTCTTGTGCCTGAAACCAATAAATATATTTTATCACCCATGACTGCAAAAACAAATATCATCAGTAGAAATATGATTGACCAGAATAGAGAGAACTGGAACAACTGGCTGCCTGTATTAGATTAGCCGCTGAATTCTGAGGAAAGATGGACCAAATCAACACTTTTATGTTTAATTTTTTTAAAAGTAACTAAAAATTCACTCTATTATGTGAGTATAGTAATTCAGCAGCATCCATTAGCTAAAATTTTAATCAATTCTTATTGAAAGGTTTATAAACCTAGCTACATATGAGTTAAGCTCAGATTTTGCTGATACATTACATAGCTGACCCCTTCCTTTTGAAAGGCCTCTGCAGTTAAATGTGGTTTCTGGCACACCTTCTCTTTGCATTTGGAAGGCAATTCATAAACCTCTGAAATTCTCCAAACCATTACAAACTTACTTCAATAACATTCCATAATTCCCCAACTCCAAAAACACACTTTCTTAAAAGAGATAATAAAGATAACTCTCTATAAAAAGCTATATTTCACTATAACTATAAATAATGTCCCAGAAGCTTGCCCCAGAGTTTATTCTGCTATTCTGCCATGCAACAGATTTAGTTTTAGCTACTGGGGAGCTTATTACAATTCACAGAGAAGAGAGTTGTTTTCTTTAAGGTGCAGTTGAGATTTAAAGTAGAGTCCTGTGGAATTTTCAGACTCTTGAGGACAATTCCCTGCTCTACAAGATGAATTCCATTGAGTACCTACACAAAGACAGTCTTTCTGAAGCACATATATTTAATACAAAACCTAAATATTATTAAATGGAATTCTCTTGTGAGGTCGTTATTTCACTACCTCTCCAGCTACCAAAGAATCTACCAGGCTCAATTTCTAATGTACATATTAAGAAAAAAACCACTCTAAAAATAATACACCTTCTATATGCATCATAAAAAGGCAAAAAGGGCAGTTTAAAATTCTAACTATTGAAAGAAGAGTAAGAAAATTATTCATAATCTTATCATAAGAGAACTGTAATACAATCTAATTGAATTTTTCAGAGTTATGAGAAGGATTTACCTCTGATCATGATAAATTGTTCACTGTTATGAAGTGTTGAAAAAGTTGCAGACATTCCTGAAAAAGGCAATTAGAAGTCGGAGATTAGTGGATCTGGGTTAGGGATAGGAAAATCCATTCATGAAAGAATTACCTGTTGTCAATTATACAAGTTACCAATATACAACAATTAGCGTTAAATAGAGCACAAAATCAGTTATTAACAAAATAACACTAAAGTTCTTTAATGTATTCACTTTTAGCTTGACTGATGATACAGTGATTTGTACAAGTTCAGCCATAACAAGAACTGATTTTGTGAAAAAATGTCACTATATGGACATTTAGAACTAGACTTCATGCAGCAAACAAAAAAATATAGCAAAGAACAATCCTGCCCTTGAGCAGATGATCTGCTAGGTCCATTCTATTTCTAAATTCTGTAATTAGTGTTAATCTAGTTCTATAACTGTTTATAATACTAGTGTCAGAAGAATCTGAAGAGGTATATTAGTCTACCATCTAGCACCACTGGAAATTAACAGACTCCATATCAGCTAGCATAAATACTGTCCAGACTGGTTCAGAGCTTAAGCTTCTTAGTAGTCATTGTTTTAAATTCACAAAAATAAAAAAACATAATAGCAACATGTTTTCATAAATTAATAGCATATAAGAGCCCTGGGGGAGAGGAGGGGAGACAACGAAAGATCCCTCTATTGGCACTTTGCCAGACTCCTATCTTGGTGTAAGAGTTCTACCAGTACAGGCAAGTCCCAAGGGGATAAAGGAAATAGTTGTCTTTTATATCCAAATCTTTATGGCCCAGATGCACAAAAGGGACTTAGGGGGCACAAAGCCTAACTTTTTGGCACCTAGAAATCACTGTAACAACACTTCATTCCACAAATATAGGCTCCCTGTATAATGAATGGAGAGAAAGCAACACCTAAGACTAAGATCCACAAAAGCCACCATGCTAGTCTGCCCTGAGGTAGGCACTCATGGTCATGAGCATCTCCAGAAAGTGTGACAGGGTCACATTTACCACGCTGTAGCAAATCCCAGTTCACTTTGGTCTTCACTCCCACCCCCACCCCTGTCCTATCTACAAAAGAGAAAAGTAATTAAATAGTTAATGTTAACATTTAAAATTGCCATCATTGGGCTTCAAGTTACGCACCAATGAGAGGATATCACACCATTCAGAGCCAGTCTTTTAGGCTGTCTGTGCACTTCGGAAGACGTCAGTGTTCTTTTACATTTGGAAGGTTTTTTTCATGACCCTGAGAACCAAAAGTGAAACCTTAGATTGTGCAGAATCTACATATAACATGTAGACCACATAAATACATTGACAAGGACAGATATGGACTATGGGATGGGTATTTGACACCACAGATCTAGAGGGCTAGAGCAAAACACTTGGTAGAGTCAAATCAAAATAAACATGAAATAGTGTTATGAAAAATCATAGCCAAACATTTCTCTCTCTTCCAAACACTCAACACTGTCCATTTGTGCGGTTCCCCTGGGCACTGCCCCTTCCGGTCCACAAGTTACTGCTCCATGTGGATGAAAAAGGCAGAATCTTCAGTCAACCACAGCTTGAGAAGAAGAGGGGATATTTCCCACTGAATAGGCGTGCAAATACTACAGTGATGAGTACTATAAAAATGCCTAAAAACAAAAGAAACATCATCCAGGTCCATTGAGGGAAAAGGGGAGCAATGGAACAACTAGCAGTATCCAGAGTGTAAGTTGTATTTATGGAAAAGGACTTAAGCATTTAACCCATATAGTTGTAGAGAAATTATTCTAACCTATGGAATTTAACAGGGAATGAGATTTTCTATAGATATGGTGTTTTTGTTTTGTTTTTGCTTGTTTCTTTTCTCCCCGTCCTGTAAAATTCTATTGCCAGGATAAATTATTTGTTAAATTGTAAAGGATGGTTTTAAGTACCCACCGAAAAATTAACATTTCCTGTTAAAATATATAAACTTTTCTGTAAAGATGCTCCAGCAGAACAATCTTTGGGCTGCTAATGACACTGACCATAAATAGCAAAAGATGAAAAGAAAGCAAGACTTCTGTGTTTTGAATCAAACACACTTTTCTTGTATTTGTGGTTTCCCTAAGATCCAGTTCCTGCAATGGGAGTCAACCTTTATGCCTATGTGGAGTCCATTGCAAGATCAGAGCCTAAGACTACAGATGGCTTGAATAAAAAAAAAAACAGATCTGAACATACTTTCAGGGGTGTTTGAAATCTAAACTCACATCTAGCTAAAAAACTTTTCCAAATATTTTTCTAGATCAAATGTATGAGGGTGAAGGAATTAAATAACTTTATCTGAGCTCGGAAACATTGACTGATATATTTTAGTTCTCATTTTTTCCTTTCTGCTCATGCTGTAGAAATTAGAAACAATTCCATGGCTGTTATTTTCTTTTCTTTAGTGTGGGAAAAATGTCAATCACATGGATTTTTTCAGGGTAAATGTCAAGATGTCATTGCTCAGCTGTATTGATTTTGCAGTTTTGCTTATTACTAATGACTTCTCTTACAGTCTGATTCAAAGCCTATTGAAGTCAATGGAAGGATTCACAGTGACTTTCTTGAGCTCTGGTTTGGGCCCCTATTCACCATCATCATTATGTCTGTGTCAGTGCATAGAAACAGAATGATCTAAGGGCTGGGAAAAAACAGGTAGTTTACATCCTTATTTTTACTCAGTAGTTGATAGCATAGTGAAAATGACATTTGAAAAACATGAAATAAAAATGTTATGTAGCTTTTGGACTTTGAATGTTTTACATTTCAAACTGTCAAGCAGTGAGAAAAGAAACAGAAATAAATGAAGAGGGTAGACAACAATTGTTATTGTCCTGTATTGTAACTGTTGTTCTTTGACATGTGATGCAGACATGTATTCCACAAAGGTGTGGGTGCACCAAGAACACTGGAGCTGGAAAATTTTGCCTAGCAAAATTCATGGCCATAGCCCCCTGCCTCCCGGCTCCCCCCAGCTCGATGAGGGTGTGCCCCCTCAAACCCTCCTCAGTTCCTTTGCGCACACATCAGGAGCATAGATTCTGATGCAAGGGCAGTGGGTGAAGCTTCCCCATGAGGAGGCTAGCTCCCTGTCCTGCCTCTTCCCCCCGCGGCCCCACCACACTCCACCTCACTCCGGCCTAGCCCTGAATCCTTCGCACTTGCCCCCCGCCCCAGCCACCGCTTGCCACATCCCTCCTCACCCCCCAAGCTGCTGCTTGACCTCCCCCACACACATCTGCCACTTGCCACATCTCTCATCACTCCCCCCGCTCGCCCACCACTTGCCTCCTCCCTCCCCCACTTAGCCTCCCCTGGCCTATTATACCCGCTGCTCATGTGAAATACACCTCTGCATCACATCTCAAAGAACAACAGTTACAATACAGGCAAGTAACTGTTTTTCCTTTAAGTGGATGCAGCTATGTATTCTATGTGGGTGACCACAAACAGTACTTGCCTGAGGTGGGGCTCAGAATCTATTTAAACAAGTAGTGCAGGACTTCTTTCCCAAAGTTTGCCTCTGCTCTGGATGTCATGGTAATGGCATAACTGTTCAGAAACATATGTACAGATGACCAAGTGGCAGCCATATAGATGTCCAATATTGAAACATCACTTAAAAATGCTATCAGTGTAGAATGAGATCACACCCTTGGAGGAGGCATAGTCAGAGCTACTTTTTATGCTGTCTTGATACAGGAAGTGATCCACCTAGAGATCATCCGTGGAGAAACTGCTTGCCCTTCATTCAGTCTGTATATGACACAAACAGATGAGGTGAAACACAAAAACACCTGTCCAGGTAAAAGGCTAGACATCACCTGACATCCCATGTGTGAAGACACTGATCCTCTGGGGTTGAATACAGCTTAGGAAATAACACAGGGAGGCTATGCCAGGCTGGGGAAGACGCTTAAGGAAATCGAGGCTCAGGTGATCTTCAGTGGGATTCTGTCTGTTCCTAGAGAAGGGTAACAAAGGTGTGACAAGATTATGATGCTCAACAGATGGCTCAGGCACTGGTGCTATAAGGAGGGCTTTGGGATGTATAGGATGGAGGATGGCACAACTGATCAAGAGAGCTTTAAGCTGGGAATCTGGGGGAGATGGTTGGGAAATGTCCAGGTAATCTACACACTGGATTTTAATATTGAGAGGGAAGAAAACGAAGTAAGAAAGGATACAGCTGTGGGTAGGAAAATGTACATATGGAGGAAGGGTAGTGTACATACCAGTCTAATAGGTGATACTGTCAGTAGAATGTCTGTGCCTAATTGGGTAAAGCGAGGCCAAACAGCAAAAATTAAGATGTTTGTACACTAATGAGAGGAGCCTAGGTAACAAAATGGAGGAACTAGAGCTACTGGTGCAGGAAGTGAAACCAGATATTATAGGGATAACAGAAACATGGTAGAATAGTAGTCATGACAGGACTACAGGTATTGAAGGGTATGTGCTGTTTAGGAAAGACAGAAATAAAGGCAAACGTGGTGGAGTAGCATTGTACATCAATGATGAGGTAGACTGTAAAGAAATAAGAAGTGATGGAATGGATAAGACAGAGTCTGTCTGGGCAAAAATCACATTGGGGAAGAAAGCTACTAGAGCCTCCCCTGGGATAGTGCTTGGGTGTGCAATAGACCGCCGGATCTCAATCTGGATCTGGATCTGGATAGAGACCTCTTTAATGTTTTTAATGAAGTAAATACTAATGGGAATTGTGCGATCATAGGAGACTTTAACTTCCCAGATATAGACTGGAGGAAAAGTGCTAGTAATAATAATTGGGCTCAGATTTTCCTGGATGTGATAGCTGATAGATTCCTTCACCAAGTAGTTGCTGAACCAACAAGAGGGGATGCCATTTTAGATTTGGTTTTGGTTAGTGAGGACCTCATAGAAGAAATGGTTGTAGGGGACAATCTTGGTTAGAGTGATCGTGAGCTAATTCAGTTCAAACTAAATGGAAGGATAAACAAAAATAGATCTGTGACTAGGGTTTTTGATTTCAAAAGAGCAAACTTTAAAAAATTAAGGAAATTACTAAGGGAAGTGGATTGGATTGAAGAACTTGTGGATCTAAAGGTGAAGTAGGCCTTTAAATCCACAAGTCAAAGTTGCAGAAACTATCAGAAGCCTGCATCCCAAGAAAGGGGAAAAAATTCATAGGTAGGAGTTGTAGACCAAGTTGGATGAGCAAGCACCTTAGAGAGGTGATTAAGAAAAAGCAGAAAGCCTACAAGGAGTGGAAGATGGGAGGGATTAGCAAGGAAAGCTACCTTATTGAGGTCAGAACATGTAGGAATAAAGTAAGAAAGGCCAAAAGCCATGTAGAGTTGGACCTTGCAAAGGGAATTAAAGCTAATAGTAAAAGGTTCTATAGCCATATAAATAAGAAGAAAACAAAGAAACAAGAAGTGGAACCGCTAAACACTGAGGATGGAGTGGAGGTTAAGGATAATCTAGGCATGGCCCAATATCTAAATAAATACTTTGCCTCAGTCTTTAATGAGGCTAATGAGGAGCTTAGGGATAATGGTAGGATGACAAATGGGAAGGAGGCTATGGAGGTAGATATTACCACATTCGAGGTAGAAGCCAAACTTGAACAGCTTAATGGGACTAAATCGCAGGGCCCAGATAATTTTCATCCAAAATATTAAAGGAACAGGCACATGAAATCGCAAGCCCTTTGGCAAAAATTTTTAATGAATCTGTAAACTCAGGGGTTGTACCGTATGACTGGAGAATTGCTAACATAGTTCCTATTTTTAAGAAACGGAAAAAAAGTGATCTGTGTAACTACAGGCCTGTTAGTTTGACATCTGTAGTATGCAAGGTCTTGAAAAAAAAATTTGAAGGAGAAAGTAGTTAAGGACATTGAGGTCAATGGTAATTAGGACAAAATACAACATGGTTTTACAAAAGGTAGATCATGTCAAACCAACGTGATCTCCTTCTTTGAGAAGGTAACAGATTTTTTTAGACAAAGGAAACACAGTGGATCTAATTTACCTCGATTTCAGTAAGGCATTTGATACAGTTCCACATGGGGAATTATTAGCTAAATTAGAAAAGATGGGGATCAATATGAAAACTGAAAGGTGGATAAGGAACTGGTTAAAGGGGAGACTACAACGGATCACACTGAAAGGTGAACTGTCAGGCTGGAATGAGGTTACTAGTGGAGTTCCTCAGGGATCGGTTTTGGGACCAAT